ACTTCATCCATTTTCCTATGAAGCTGTGACACAGCTGGATCGTCCATCGGCGTGGATGCTCACATTGTTATAGTTATTGTTCTCGTTGTGGACGGCCCTTCAGGTTCCTCACTTTAGGACTCTTCTCTACTCACGGCTCTGTTCCATTTCACTGTTTCACAAACAGTTATGGTCACTTTAAACTGTCTTTCAGTGATGACAAACTGATCAGCATGCCGGAGTTTCCAACAGCCGTTTATCTGCTGATGAAACGGGATAAATCTTCAGAGCTGATCGATTTCAACTCCAACTTGGACCCTTCAGTCACAAAGTGAGATCACTTCTAAATACGTGTTAAGAGCTCAACAGGCTTTTCACTAAAGGAATTGTTTGACATTTGAGGATTCTTGCAGAGAGATTTTGAGAGGATCGACATGCTGAATATAAAGCTAGAGTAAGGTGGCAGTTAGACTGTTGTTTCTGTTTTTGTACCAATGAAACAAACTATATATAAGATGTTAATGAGTGAGCTGTAGAGCTGTTGGTATTGTTGGACTTTGGACAGAGCCAGGCTAGCTGTTTCCTCCTACTTCCAGCCTTTATGCTAAGCTAACCAACTCACAACCACTCTCACAAATTGAAGTGAAGTTTCCTTTTTTCTCTTTAACATTTAATTATGAGCCAAATCCCCTGACTAGTACAATATAATAATAGTTTATTTTCTATTTTAAGGTTAATTCTGGGTAAAATGATGCTCCTTAGAAAAAGCTGGAGCTCCCAGTGATGCAATAAATGTAGAAGATGAGTGTGTTGAACTGGTAGATTTGTGTGCAGAGCAGATATCACACAGCTTTACATTTAATTTCAGACTGGTGTGCGTGAGGACGAGCAGTAAGGACTTTGAGCTACCTTTCTAGATTCCAGCCCGAACTGTGCAGTAAGTTCACTTCTCATTGATCATATTACACCAGGCTGTGCTGCTCTTCAATCACACAGAAACTATATCAATATGTTCCAAAGGTTATGATGCAGTCCAGAGGAACCAATCCTTGAGGAGTGGCCACTCGATGGGAAACACCAGATTCAAAGTGAGCTTCATTATTCCAGTCGAGAGATGAGAAATCTCTTCTACAAGTTTGGACATCAGCACTTGCTGTTTGGAGCTCTACTTGTAAATAATCTGCCTTCGTGTGATAAAGGTTGTTCCAGTTCAGCAGCAAAAAGCTGCTCATTTAAAGACGTCGGGGAGCGTGAACAGTCACATGTGAAATGAACTTTGCTTGTGCAGCTCACAGCCTGTATGCAGACCTACAGCTGGAAATGAAAATCCAAACTGAGCTTCTGCAGTTACATTTTATTGGAGGGGGAATTTTTTCAGTTTTCATTGGTTTTTCTACATGCTGCTATACTTCCAGTGGGGACACTAAAAACAGGGCAAAGACAGAAAGACGATCGCCAGGGGGTAGTTAACCTTGGTGAGGCTAAATAGAAGGCTACAAACATCCTCATAGAACTGGAGTTACATCCAGATAACTTCTAGTTCCTTAAAGCCCCTGTGTGTGGAATTTAATTTGATTATAACAGCTATCAAATATGTTTCTGTTTGTCGTGCAAATGCTACACACAGGAGCTTTAAAATATCTTCACATTAACATCAATATGTTCTTCATTCATTCCAGACCCCTTTAAGGTATTTTCCCATCTTCTAGAAATCACATTTATATCCAATTAATTAAAAAAAAATGCCGACCAGATTATATTTTATATCCACATAATGAGGAAATATGTCTGTAAAATGTCCACTGACAACATATTTAATTTGTTCTCCACCAAAACATCCAATCTTGCAATACAATATCCGTTTGTAGGAACTTTTTATGGTTCTGTTTAGGCAACAAAAGCACCAACTTCAGAGGAAAATCAACTTTCTGTGTCAGCCATCCACCCCGACCACAGGCCTCCATCTCTGGTGTGGTTCATCAATGTAAAGACCAAAACAAGAAGTGAACATAATCCAGGATTATGTTTGACAGAACAATGTCATTATGAAAACGATATAGTGCTATAAAAACCTAATTTCTAGGAGGCAGGGTTGATCTGAATTTGAATGATTATCTTCTAACATACTGTAATCTTTGTTTGCTATCTGGACTCGCTGCTTTGTTTTTCTGCACCGCTGCAGATTGTTATTCATTGTTTGTTTGTTTATCTGTTGATTGATTCTCTGAGAAATTATAAATGGACGACATGGATTTTGTAATTGTGTCTCTGTTTGTGTTCAAGGCGTTGGAAACACATATCAGTGATTTGGTTTGTTAAAAATCTGCTTTAAAGTCACAACCAATAAGTCTACAGTTATATTTAGACATTAAATTATACTTTTATACAGAACGTCCATATCTACAAGAGAACTGTCATACATTAGTTTATATTTGTTATATTACAATGAGATCAATGGCATATAAATATTGATTAAAGTCAGTCTCAGTCAACAGAAAACACATTTTCCGTTTTACTGTTAAATATTGTTAGAAACAGTTTAGTTCATATATTTTTGAACTCCAGCAGAAAGAATTGTTGTACGTCTCAGTGTTTTCTCTTTTCTCTGTATTGTTCTCATGCCGTTTGCATTCTAATACTTTATGTTTGTATCATAGATGTGTATATTCACCGTTATATACCTGGATGTACATATTGTTTGTGTTTATGAGTCCATCAGTCATCTGAGCCCACTGACAGTTCTTTGGTCACGTTGTAGGAACATTGGTAAATATTTAAGAAGCAGTCTTCAAGGCTAAATGTGAGAGCAGAGCATTAGTAAAGAATTCTGAAATACTAAGGTAATGAAGGTGATTTCTTAAGGTTCCCATGCATCCTGGAAAACCTGAGAAAGTCCTGGAAAATGACAATATTTACCAAAATGTTCCTGGAAATAAAACGCTGTCCTGAAAGAGGTTTCTAATGCAGAATAAATACAATCATAATCACATTGATAGACTTTATTCATGATCCTGTGAATGTGTTTTTGGTGCTGGTCCCAGTGGGGTTCAAACTGTAACTGTGCATCACAACCTTGTTCTGTTTTTATGACACATTTTAAGTGTGTTTGTCTTTTAGGAAGTTTCACAAAGCTTCTGCCCTCTGCTGTGAGCCAATAAAGGTTTAAAATCTGATTTGAATCATGGTCCTCTTTGTCTGCATGTAGAACAGTGTTTTTTAATTTGAAGCAAAGCAGAGCTGAGAATTTACAGCATTAATAAAAACCATTACCAGCTCAATATGTGACTGCGCTACTGAATAATAGTTGTGGGTTTTTTGACTCATATGAGAAGAATATTTGACAAGAGTGAAGCATTGTGTTGCAACGATATAAAAAATACTAAATCACATCAGTGAAATCAACATTTTCTTCCTTTCATGGTCATTAACCATCATTTATTACCGGTAATTCAGTTTATGAAATCAGGGTTTTATATGATCTTGTGTGCTGGCTTTAATTTCAAATCTAGTTTTATCACTTTAAATCAAGTTGAACTAAATGAAGTCAGTCAGAAAGAAAGTATTCACATCACCAGTTCAGTTTTCACTGCACACAGATATTGCATCCATTCAGATAAACCAGTCTGAGGAAAACAGTGGAAATGGTGACATCTGCTGGCAGAAAGCAGCTCCAGCAGGAGCTACAGAACATGAACACTGGTGATAACAACTGCTTCAACATTGATTTCTGTGGGAAAAAGCTCCACAGGTTGACTTTATGTGTCTGTAATGTGAAAACTAGCAGAGTCACACATAAAACTGTAAGAAACTGAACTTCATTTGGACTAAAAAAAAACATGATTTATTTGTTTTTACAGCACAAATCAAACCAGCATTATTTGTTTAATAGACATGATTAATGAATATAAAGTCTAGAATCTGCATATTAAACACTTCTAATTTTCTTTTCCATCAAACATTATATACAAAATGAAATATTAAAGCAATGACTTTCCACCAAAATCCAGACAGAATCTGTTTGTAGTCAGTTGAGAAACTTCAGTAAAGCCTTGATTGAATCCAGACTTTGTTCAGGTTTTATCTACTTCATTGATTATAATATGAGAAACGGCTGGTATTGGTGGGAATAACCAGAACTTCACACATGCAATATCAACTTCCACTGTTGTTCAGAAATATGTGGAAATTAACTGCACTACTCCATCGTTCCACAGGGTGGAGCTGCAACAGAAAGCAACACTGAAATATCCAATTCAATGTGTTCATCTACAGTTCTGTTGTCATAAACAGAATGAATGTGTAGAGGCAGTTTGGGTTCAGAATATGTGAATGAATGAAAGAATAAAATCCAGGTGGAGGTTCCAGGTGGAGGAGGTGGTTGAGTGTGGAGCAGAAGGAGTGGAGGAGTCTCAGTGTGTCTGCAGAGACTGTGTAGAAGGACAGAGCAGCAGCAGAGCAGTCCAGATACACTGATGATACTCTGTCACATCCAGAGGAACACACAGGGATGATGGTGGACTTGACATTGTGTCTGACAGTGGAGCTGATCTCAGAGCAGTTCAGACTGCAGCACTGAGAGTCATCTCCACTGGTTGTGATTCCTCTGTCAGTCACTGCTGGATGAAGCTCTCCTCTCCACTCTACCTCCCAGTAACATGGCCCAGTCAGAGCTGATGCTGCTGCTTCAACCTCTCTGGATCATCAGGACACAGCTGATCCTCCAACACAACCTCCTTCCTCACCACTCACACTCTGACTGAGATCACTTCCATCTGATGAGAGAAGAAGACAGACAACAGAAGTCATAAATCAGTGTTTACAGAGACTCCCTCCATCAGCACATCCAGTATAAAGAGCAGCAGGGACTTCAGTCGAGTTCAGACCAGCACTGGGGCAGCTGTGTAGCGTAGCCTGCTTCCTTTCAGCTCTCATGTTAACGTGTTGGAGTGAATATTTGGACAAAATTACAATACTACAATACTGCTGAAACCAGCATGGACTGACTCCAACCCTCTACTGACCTCAGAGTCTCCAGTCTACAGTGTGGACTCTCCAGAAAACCACACAGCAGCTTCACTCCTGAATCCTGCAGCTTGTTGTAATTCAGCCACAGCTCTCTCAGATGGGAGGGGTTGGACTTCAGAGCTGAGACCAGATAATCACAGCTGATCTCTGACAACCTGCAGCCACTCAAACTAAATAAAGAATAAAAGATGAAGATAAAATCATTAATAATCCAATCAGATGTGTTCAGGTTTGAAATGTGGAGATCAACATTACTATGTCCTAATCAATGAGCTTTTCTCTAAAATGAGTAGAGTGACTTTGTCCTTGTGTTATTGTGGATCATCATAATGTCAGCCTTCTACAGACATCATCCAAATGTCAGCATTCATACACCTAATTATGTCAACACGAATCAATAACATGCTGCTGATCTCAGTCAGGTCTGTAATTATAGGATCAATACTTTATCAAGAGGCGTAACTGTGGGCCCTGTCGTGCCCTCACATGTTCACATGCGTTCAGCAGTGATTATTAGTGCGAGCAGCATGGCACCAGAAAGACTCAGTGGATTGGCTTTACTCTCAATAGAGAACAGCAGAGTGAACAACAGTGTTGTTAATGACTTTGCTGAGGGAAAGGCCCAGAGGATGAACTTCTGATGGGTGAGGACAGGTGTCTCTTTGTTATGGAGTGGGACCAGGGATTTAAACTACCTCTCAAATGTTAGAAAATGCACACTGACTGTAATCTGTCTGTGATAACATTTGGTGTCTGTGCCATTGATGATGAATGGTGATTAATGAATTGTTTATTAAGTATTGTTGTGATCAGATGCCGTCATCCATTCATTCATACTGTGTAGGCCTATAATGAGTTGCTGTGCTTCTCTCGGTTGCTATTTGTTCTGTGATTATTGACATACTGTGGAAGCTACTTTGTGTTGATTTGTTACTGTAGGCTGGCTGAAGTTATTTCAGTTGGTTGATAGTCAGAGACAACAGGCTGTGGAGGTTTGAGCTGTCAGATTTGTGTTGATAGATTTGGCACTTTGTCTGCTGTCTGTGGTTCTGATCAAAGACTGCAGGTTTGCATTGTGTAGAGTTGTGTGTCATTTTGGGGGGGGGTCCAGATGTGACCATTTACCAACAATTATAAACATTCATTTACTTTAACAAGTAACAGTGGACATTTTCTACAGTTTCTTTAACAAACACAAGTCTTTGTGACTGCAGACTAAATTTAGTTCAACAAACATTAAAATATGAACAAAAGCAACTTTACAACTTTATGGATGTAAGTTATGTATGAACATAAATTAGGTTCAATTGATAATTAAACATATCAGATCTACAACAGTAACAGAGAGTCAGTGAACTGACCTCAGAGTCTCCAGTCTACAGTGTGGACTCTCCAGAAAACCACACAGCAGCTTCACTCCTGAATCCTGCAGCTTGTTGTCACTCAGGTTCAGCTCTCTCAGATGGGAGGGGTTGGACTTCAGAGCTGAGACCAGATAATCACAGCTGATCTCTGACAAACTGCAGTTCCACAATCTGAATAAAGAATAAAAGATGTAAGTTTAGAAGCATCATATGGATTCATAAAACTATTGGAAAAAACTAATACAGAATATATATATATATATATATATATATATATATATATATATATATATATATATATATATATTGTTTATAATATTGTCTGAGTCAGTTAAAATATTGATTATGTATTTATTGTATTCATGTATTTATTTTGTATTAAAAAACAAGATGTGAAATATAAGATGTAAATCAAGAGTTAAAGAGTTTAATGTAGATTCTTGTTGTTATATTCAGCTTTTAAATGTGGAGCTCAACATTGCTCTGCCACAGTCAATGGACTAAACCACTGAAGAAGAAAACAGACTTTAGCATTAAGATACTCAGTGTGGATCAGTATAATATCAGCCTTATGTCTGCACTTTACTGTCGGCACAACTTTCACATCATATTGTAACCAGGTTAAAAAAAACTATGCCTTGTAATAAAAATAAGATATTGTTTGTGACTTGATTAAAAAAAACAAACATCAGTTGTTATAAATAAGGTTAAAAGGTAAATAATAAATATGGTTAAAAACTGTTTAATAAAGATTAAAAATGTACAGTGTTATAAATGTGTTTTAAAAATATTCAGATGTTTAGTTATCCCACGTGGAAAGCCTGAAGATGGATCATATAGTGTTGAGCTAACTATTAAGTCACCGCTCAGAGTTCATGGGACTACGCGGGAGAGACCAGGCCGTTCCTGGACCCTGCTTGTCCTGTGATCACCATCAGAGACAGAGAGACTGCTAAAGGCTGCAGAGACCATGTTTGGACACCTGCTTGGTACCCTGTTCTTCACTGGAGATTGACAGTGGTAAAAGCTGCAGACTGAACTCAGAGAGGACCGAGGTCACCTACCATCCTTTTATTGTGTTGTTCAATTGAGGGAACCTGTGTGTGTGTGTGTGTGTGTGTGTGTGTGTGTGTGTGTGTATATATAACTTTAGTTATATTGTGTGTTAGAGGGAAATATTATTTCATTGCTGTAACTCTCAAATTTAAAAGAGAGTAAATGTTATTTCTAGTTGTGGACTCGATTAAAAAAATTCATCTAATTAATTAGAGGCTTTGTAATTAATTAATCTTAATTAATCGCATATCAATATTTGACACGAGAAGCAACATTTTTCAATTTAAATGGATTTTGGTATATGACTGAATCAATGAATAGACACATAAATGAGCTTAAACAACAAAATTGTGTTTATTTTCATCACTGAATGTTAACATAAAGTGCAATATGAATAAAGAATATTATGATTGCATTGTTCACAAGGCACAAACTTAAATTCAAGTTAGCTATTTTCAAGCTTTTTCAGGACTTTTTGTAAACTTTCTGTCTTCTATGTATGTTCTTCTTGCACGATTTGCACACTACTGTGCTTTTATCCAGGTTTCCACCCGGTAGTTTTTTTAAACTAAAATTTCCGCCCACCGAACCCAGCAACAACTTCTCATCGGTTTCCATTTCTCATGTTGTGTTCTGTGCATCAGTATTACTGGTTTGCCGGGAACTCGTGCAACGAGCAACGTTCCGCGCTGTTTGGAGTGCAAAAATAAATTGCGATTAAATGCGTTTTATTTTTTTTTCACATTATTTTTTCAGTAATTAATTAATCGTAATTAACGTGATAAAGTCCCAGCCCTAATTATTTCATTGAGTTTATTGTTTTATTCTTTTAAAAAGTTAGTTAACTTATTTCTTCTCAAATCTGATTCTTGTGTGATTCTTGGTTATTTGTTTTGCTAAAGTTATTTAAGCATAAGATATAAATTAGTGATCATTTTGTTGGAGAAGTAATAAATTATTATTATGCTAAGTGTTCAAATGTTAATTACAGTGTAATTGGTAAAAAGGTTAACTTAACCCTTGTATTATGTTAAGGGTCAATTTGACCCATTTCAGTTTTTGTGTTGATCAAAGTACTGGTTATCCTTTCTTTTTCTTGCTGAAATTTGGTGACTTTTCCTCATCTAGGGTCATGAACTGGTGTGTAAAATCTGGACACTTTGATGTGTAGTGGAATGTCTGTGCAGAGTTTGTATACAAAGATGATGTTGCGGGTCATTTTGACCCAGACGCTTTAATGTGGGTAAATAGCTGTTCAGATCCAAAATAAACATGTCTCTTTGATGTACTTTTTACTTTGATGTACAATTGTTTGTATTTTGATTGCCTCTGAGACCCAGAGCCAGGTGTGTGAAGAGAGGGAACTTTCTCACACTTGTCCTTGTCACTGTTCTCATGTCATCTCTTTGACAAACTCACCAAAAATGAGCTCCAGAAGGATGACAACTGAGGAGGCTTTATCAGAGATTTTTAACTGGGATAGTGATGTAGAGGAAGAGATTTCAGAAACAGAGGATTTTTCAGAGACAGAGGACAATGTTATTGCTGATCCAGATTGTCAATTTTCCTACGATGAGGAGGATTCAGAGGACGAGTCTGCCGTTGTTCCTCCAACAGATGAAAACCAAGGAATGCAGCAATCATCATCCACAGAGGGGACATGGGCATCTAAGGACGGTAATATAAAATGGTCAACATCACCACACCCAAGCCGAGGCAGACTATCATCTTCCAATGTGATCAAAATGACTCCCGGTCCTACAAGATTTGCTGTCACACGAGTTGATGAGATTCAATCAGCATTTCAGCTCTTCATATCCCCACCAATAGAGAGGATTATACTGGAAATGACCAACTTGGAGGGGAGACGTGTGTTTCAAGAGAAATGGAAGCCACTGGATCAGACTGACTTGCATGCTTACATTGGAGTTCTGTTATTAGCTGGAGTGTACAGGTCAAAGGGAGAAGCCACTGCAAGTCTATGGAATGAAGAGAATGGAAGGCCAATCTTTCGTGCAACAATGTCTCTGGAGACATTCCACATGATATCTCGTGTGATCCGCTTTGACAACCGCGACACCAGAGCTGGTCGACGTGAAAGAGACAAACTAGCTGCGATCAGAGATGTGTGGGATAAATGGGTTGAAAATTTACCTTTGTTGTACAGTCCTGGTCCCCATGTTACTGTAGATGAGCGCCTTGTTCCATTCAGGGGGCGCTGTCCTTTCCGACAGTACATGCCCAACAAGCCCGCCAAGTATGGCATCAAAATATGGGCAGCCTGTGATGCAAAATCCAGCTATGCATGGAATATGCAAGTATACACTGGAAAGCTACCTGGAGGAACATCTGAGAAGAATCAGGGGATGCGTGTGGTGCTGGAAATGAGTGAAGGGCTGCAAGGTCATAACATCACATGTGACAATTTCTTTACATCCTACCGCCTTGGAGATGAACTTCAGAAGAGAAAGCTGACCATGTTGGGAACAGTCAGAAGAAATAAGCCAGAACTTCCCACCGAAATTCTGAAGATGCAGGGCAGACCTCTGCATTCCTCAATATTTGCTTTCACTGAGAAAGCAACAGTTGTTTCATACTGCCCAAAGAGAAACAAGAATGTTCTTGTAATGAGTACAATGCACACAGATGCATCTCTGAGCACAAGAGAAGACATGAAGCCACAAATGATCCTGGATTATAACTCCACCAAAGGAGGAGTTGACAATCTGGACAAAGTCACAGCAACATACAGCTGCCAGCGCAAGACAGCCCGTTGGCCTTTGGTGATTTTCTACAACATTGTGGACGTGTCTGCTTACAATGCCTATGTCCTGTGGACTGCAATCAACCAGAAATGGAATGCCGGCAAATTGTACAGACGTCGGCTTTTCCTGGAAGAACTCGGCAAAGCACTTGTCACTCCCAAGATCCAGACGCGAGCCAGGCCAGCTTGATCCCCAGCAGCTGCAGCTGTCATTGAAAAGGTCAAACTCAGGTCACCCAACCCAACCTCACCCAACCAACATCCAGTGGACACAGGTGGAAAGAAAAGGAAAAGATGCCAGGTATGTCCCTCCCGAGAGGACAGTAAAACAAGTACCTCTTGTGTGAAATGCAAGAATTACATCTGCAGAAAGCACACAGTAACATTCTGTCCATCATGTGGAGAGCATTGAAAATGTTGAAGAAAATTTGGAGAACATTGAAAATGTTGAAGTTCGCTGGGATGAAGTTAAAGTTGAAGTTAAAGTTAAAAAGAAATGTGTTCATGAAGAGGGAAAAACTTAGCCCTTGTGCTTTCTTTGGTCAAGGAAGGAGGAAGGGATGAAGGAAGGAAGGTAGGAAGGAAAGAAGGGAGAAAGGAAGGAAGGAAGGAAGAGAGAAAAGAAGGGAATAGAGGAGGATGAACAGAGAGAAGGAAAACAGGATGAGAAGAAGGAAGGAGAGAGCATGGCAGGAGGAAAGAAGGAGGGAAGAATTGTCATTTTGACCCGAGAGGAGGACAAGAGGATTAGACTAAATATTTCTTAAATATAGTGTTGGAATTAAAAATGTATTGTATGTCACTTTTCTAAATGTTTATATAACCTAAAATAAAGTTGTTATTGGTTTAACCTGTTTTCTTGACTGTTTTGAGTGCATTTACACAGTACGGGTCAAAATGACATAATCAATGTCATTTTTTTCAACATAATACAAGGGTTAACAAAGCCTAGTAACAGTGCTGCTACAATTCATTAGCAGTGAATTAAAAGTCTCAATACTAGCAAAAGTGAATATTTAAAAAATTTGTAAATTGTTGTAAATTCAGTAAATTGATTAAAAGACCTCAGGTCCCTTCCCTGACTAAAATAGGGATAGGTGGGCTACAATATTAATCTCAGCACAGAAGGAAAAAATGGTGTCTGACCTCAGAGTCTCCAGTCTACAGTGTGGACTCTCCAGAAAACCACACAGCAGCTTCACTTCTGAATCCTGCAGATTGTTGTTACTCAGCTCCAGATCTCTCAGATGGGAGGGGTTGGACTTCAGAGCTGAGACCAGAGAAGAACAGCTGATCGCTGACAAACTGCAGCGCCTCAATCTGAATAAAGAATAAAAGATGCAAGTTTAGA